TTTGTTATGAATTTCGCGCAAAGCTACACTGCGCTAGCAGTCCCTAATTTAGCAGTGTAAGAATAGAAGGAAGGCAGCTAGTCATCACCACCCACAGCCAACTCTTGGGCTACTTTTTTACCAACGAATAGTGGGATTGGCCGTCACATTATAACGCCCCCACGGCTGAAAGGGCGAGCATATTTGGTGGGATGGGGATTCGAACCCGCGACCCTCAGATTGCGAGTCGAGCGCCCTAACCACTTCGCCATGCCGGTCCCAGGGCGGAGTAAGCTATTAAAACTATCGATAAAGTTTTCTTACAAATTAATAAAAAATAAACTTTTCGCGAAGTATGTTAGCTTGTAAAACGATTTTGTTTATTTTCTATTAGCTCTCAAAACAAGTCGCTGATATAAAGGGTAAAAAATATTTATTCTACAGAAATTGTTGATCTATAACTTCTGTAGACGGATAATTAACTCAATGTTTTTCTGTTTAGACTGTCCGAATAGGATATACAACGAGCGCCATCTGTACTGTGTAATTTACAACACAGTTACCACATAAAAACGAGACGGTTTGTACATCAATGACTAATTGTGTGAAGATATAGCCCATAATCATTATTATCGCCACATCATTTGGCGCTTTTATCACATAGGTTGTTTTTAATTTATGGAAGTCAAATGTTTTAAGGCCAACTTGTATAAATAACTATATGCAAAATTATACCAATTTATATCGAGTTTTTGAGTCAATCTCTCATATATATGGAGATACAGAACGATTGTTTGTTTTTTGAATTTCGCGCAAAGCTACACGAGGGCTATCTGCACTAGCCGTCCCTAATTTAGCAGTGTGAGACAAGAGGAAAGGCAACTAGTCATCAACACCCACCGCCAACTCTTGGGCTACTTATTCAACAACAAATAATAGGATTGACCGTCACATTATAACGCTCCCACGGCTGAAAGGACGAGCATGTTTGGTGGGACGGGAATTCGAACCCGCGACCCTCAGATTGCGAGTCGAGCGCCTTAACCACCTGGCCATGCGGGATACAGAACGAGAGAAATAATCTAATAAACACACTAAAAATTCACTTCACTAAGAAAGACTGGTGCGTCACTGTTAATTCTGAGGACATATCACACTAAAAATTCACTTCACTAAGAAAGACTGGTGCGTCACTGTTAATTCTGAGGACATATCACACTAAAAATCGAGTTTCGATACACCCGATTAGCACAGCACAGATAAACTATTGTGTAACTTTATGCTTCATAACAACCAACCAAACGCTCCAGTATTTCAGAGCGTTTTAATGAACTAATAGAAAGATACATACTTATATCTATCTCTTTGTTGTTTTTTTTGCAAATTTTCTGGTATAAAAGCACGTCGTAGCCCTATTAATAATGTTTTATTTAGGTCTCTCAAAACTGGTTGAACCCATACTGAAGTTCATTCGTTAGTACCCTGATTTTTTTTATTGTTTGAAATTTACTAAACACAAAATTCCTTCCAAAAATATTTTAATAATTATTGATACTTAGTAGTTGTACTTTTTACTTGCAAAGATACTAACAAAACGTGATATAGGTAAAATGGAAGCTGTCAAGGCATTCACTTCAACGTGATATAGGTAAAATGGAAGCTGTCAAGGCACTCACTTCAACGTGATATAGGTAAAATGGAAGCTGTCAAGGCACTCACTTCAACGTGATATTTTGAAACAGTTACGTATGTCTGGTATGAAAGAAATGGTTAAAGTGGTTTTATTGTACTAACTTGCTTTTACCTAGTTTCGCCAACATTTCAATTCTGGTTAAATAAATCTCTTTCGGCAGTATTTTACAAAGTTAGTCGTTTTTACTAACTTGTACTTAATATAATTCAGAATATTAATGATATGGGATCGAATGATTCGGGATTTAACAAAGTAGGCCTGCATTAGTTACAGTTTACAACGTCTTGGTACCAGCTTCCGTTTATTTAAGTCTTTACACGTACATTGGTCTTTTATATCTGTGTCATTAATAGAACCGCGACAATCACTTGTCTTTTTATATAGAGATAGAATGGAGAGATCTTAACAAGTCAATAAGGTAAACTCTCGTATTGGAACTTTTATTGGTCTAAAATTAACAAATGTGTTTTACGTTTCTGAGCCGTAAAAGTGCTTTTCGTATTGGGGGTGGGGGGCACCAAAAAAAATCATTTATTATACTCATAACACCACATTTAAATACAACCAAGAAGATGACACACATAGGTTATAATTTACCTATTGGCAAAAACAATACATTTAAGCAATTATTATAATATATAGGTAAGTTTAGGTGCTTATAATATATATATTTATATATGTATGATTATTCTAAAATTATATCATTATCTGGATTCACTAAAAGAACAAATAACACTAGAATACATTTTACAGATAACCTCTGAGTAACGTTTTTGTTTCAATTTTTCAAAAGACAGTTCTTCCAAAAATACATTGTTCATGACCCATAACACAGTCAATAGTAGGTTCGTTTTATAAATGAACACAAATTAAATAATTATTAATGTCTTGTTTTAGTAGGATGAAATTTAATGTATATTATTATATGTGTTTAGACCAGCCAAATGTAATGCTACCATCTATATTTATAAAATACTGACACAGTAGTAATTACGTTTAATTACATGCTTCACATAGCTTGTTGTTTAGAAATTTGGGGGGGGCACGTGCCCCCTCTCCTCCAGCTCCTACGCCCCTGCGTTTCTATTGCGTCATATTATACAAAATAATGTAATTCAGTCTATAATCATTAATGTAATAAATACTTCAGTCTCGTTAATTCTTTGGATAAATTTCGAAGACTCTTAACTAAAACGTTTGAAGTGTTCTGCTGCAGTGCATTTCCTTGCTGCCAGGGGTTTCAGTACACAAGTATTACAACACTTCCTATGCTTCCGTATCAAACGAACAGCCACCCGCCGGATATTGGTTGCACGCCAGTTCGTGGTGACGATCAGCTGGCTGAAACTGTTTGAATTCAAGTGAACGTGAAATATTTTGAAGAGCATTTCTGTTTTGCCAAAAAAAAAAGTACAATAGTCGCTGTTGAGTTTCTTTATGTATACAGAGGAATAGTAATGCGTGATCTTGTTTTCAAACTTGTTGTGTTTCAGTCATGCGCATAGAAACGAGTCCTTGAAAGACATTTGAGAAAACAATACCAGAATGAATGGTGTTGTAGCTTATGGTGGTCGCCCTCTTTTAACTTTATTTTAGAAATAGCTTCGGTAGCAAACTTTCACACTTTGGAGCAGTTTGCAGCTTTTGCTTAAGAAAGAAAAACAAAAAACTTTTTGGTAATGAAAACCAATTCAACTGGATTTAATTCATAAGCTGGACAAATGGACCCAGGGGTACGTATGTAATAATTAATATTATTTGCAGTAAAACGAATATGCAGGGTAAAAATATTTCGAATAGCTGAAATTGATTTCTGCCAAAAGAACGACAGATAATACAGACATGATTATTAGTTAGCGAGATAATTCCAGCTGTGGTTTGGGGTTTTAATGTTGATACGCTTCAGGTTTAAATTTTAATTATTGTTTAAAATCCCTTATTCTTACATGACTGAGTTAGGGGACTGTGTAATAATTTCAATGTTCGCTGCTCTGGAATAAATCGTAGTGCCGCTAAAATATAGTTCTCTCAAAGAATAACATTTAGTTAGTTTTATTTTTTTAAATTTCGCGTAAAGCCACATAAGGATTGTCTGCGCTAATCGTCTCTAATTTTAAAGTGACAAACTAGAGGGAAGCCAGCTAGTCAATACCACCCACCGTCAACTCTTGAGTTACTCTTTACCAACAAATTGTAGTATTGCCCTCCACATTACAACACCTACACTGCTGAAAGGCGATAATGTTTCGATACAGTATTCGAACCCACATGGTCTGGTGGCTAGGGCACTCGACTCGCAATTTGCGGAAGTCGTGGGTTCGAATCCCCGTCATACTGAACATGCTTGCCCTTTTAGTTATGGGGACGTTATAATGTGACGATCAATCCCACGATTCGTTATAAAAGAGTAGCCCAAGACTTGTCGGTGGGTAGTGGTGACTAACTGGCTTCCCTCTAGTCTATTACTGCTAAATTAGGGACAGCTAGCGTAAATGGCCCTCGTGTAGATTTGCGCGAAATTCAAAACAAACCAAAACGAACCTCTCACCCATAAATATCTACTATAAATTTAGTAATGTGCCACCTATTGGTAGATCTACCTCATATACCACCTTGTAGTTTATAATATAGTGTATTAAAAAGAGTACTTACGTAAATACACATAGAATAAGTCATAATATGAATATATGGACATAAATAGCATGTGTATCCCAGTCTAAATGATGAACGATCGAACCTAAATGGACATGGCTCTGATACGGGAATTGAATTCATATAATAAACACTCATGAAAGTAATACCCTCTTTTATGTCGCGTTCAACATTTGACAGTGCTCACCACACCCATGCGGAGGAAGAAATTACACCCATGATGCGGGAGGAAGAGGTCAAGATTGCACCTGACCTTCCCAGATCCGAACAAGGACATAAAACCCAATGAAACAGAATCAGCGATCCAGGACTTATTTACTATTGGAAACAGCTGACTGATTATAAGCTTGTATTTTGTCATGTATGATCTAGACCTATGTTTAGAAATCGTAAAAGTTTGAAAATTATTATACATTTCGTTTATATTCGTAGGAGCACACACGTATTGAAAAGAACAGACTGAAGTTTGAAAAAATGAACTAAGTGTATACTGGAATATCCAATGATAACACGACCTATAACCTTGATTTATTCTCTATTGGACGTTTACACTTCTAGGCTTTTAAATAACGTTTTCTGAGGTTATAGGCTGTTTTATCATTCAGATAAAAAGGTCGAAGATCCTTGAAATAATTAAACTCGGACACTGTGGGGTTTTTGTTCACTTATAGTGGCGCTATGTTAAGTATTTTCAACCAGCAATAATTGTAATTTTATTTTTATTGTTACCTTTATATTTGAAAGTTTGTTTGTTGTTAAACGCAATGCTACACAATGGGCTAACTGTATTGTGCCCACCACAGATATTGAAACAAGGTTTTTAGCGTTATAAGCATTCAGATTTACCGCTGAGTAAATAGTAAAAATAAAAATATTCACAATTTATGTATTCCTTGTTACGAATTGCTAATAATACATATTTAATCGACAGCTTTGGTACACGAAATTTATATAAAATAACGCATTCGGAAGAAATTATTTCCAACATTTATCCAGTATGTTTACTACAAGTTTTTACAATTGCAGTCATCTTTATAAACTTGTTAATAGAGCTAACATGGTTTATACGAACTTAGTAACTAATGTTTTTTAATATGAGCCTTAGGATTTAGTAACTAATGTTCAATATGAGCCTTGGGATTTAGTAACTCGTTGTGTAATACGAGCTTTGGGATTTAGTAACTAATGTTATTCAATATGAGCTTTGTGATTTAGTAACTAATATTCAATATGAGCCTTGGGATTTAGTAACTAATGTTATTCAATATGAGCTTTGTGATTTAATAACTAATATTCAATATGAGCCTTGGGATTTAGTAACTAATGTTCAATATGAGCCTTAGGATTTAGTAACTCGTTGTGTAATACGAGCTTTGGGATTTAGTAACTAATGTTATTCAATATGAGCTTTGTGATTTAATAACTAATATTCAATATGAGCCTTGGGATTTAGTAACTAATGTTCAATATGAGCCTTAGGATTTAGTAACTCGTTGTGTAATACGAGCTTTGGGATTTAGTAACTAATGTTATTCAATATGAGCTTTGTGATTTAATAACTAATATTCAATATGAGCCTTGGGATTTAGTAACTAATGTTCAATATGAGCCTTAGGATTTAGTAAC